GCCAAAAATAACCAGAGGTAAAAAGAAAAAAACGGTAACCTGGTTGCCGAGTTCACGAAGTGAATTGGCTTGTTTNGGGGGGGGCGATACCACCAAAGGCTACTGCAACAGGGCTGGGGCTGCCGACGCTGACGGTACCACCCCAGGTCCGACCGGAACTGTCGGCGACATCGTGGCTGATGACGATGATCCTGACGTGACCCTTGCAGCGGCCTCTGCACGAACATCGCGCCCTACAGGAGCTCCTGAAAAATTCGAATCATGATCTTGCAGCGGTGTCAGATGCGTTCATGGCAAAAGAGATGGGGCAGGTGGTGGCATGCTAGGAGCATGGGAGGGCACAGGAGGTTGTACATTCGTGTCGGCAGCAGCATCCACAACTTGATTTGCTCGCAGGAGAGTGACTACTTGTTGCAACAGCATTTCAGTACGGGAAGCCGAAGTCGAGGCGTGTGATGCAGCATGGCGTGGTGACTCAACACGTTCGTCCAAAGGCAAGGAAGANCGCAGGAGAGTGAGTACTTGTTCCAACAGCATTTCAGTACGGGAAGCCGAAGTCGAGGCGTGTGATGCAGCATGGCGTGGTGACTCAACACGTTCGTCCAAAGGCAAGGAAGATGTGGGATGATCCTTAACGGCATGGGCAGGGGCATGGCGTTTCACAGCGGCTGAGTGTTCACGAAGTTGCATGTTGGCAAGTTTGAATGCCAAAGAAGACATGGTCGGTTGGCCTACATCAGCGGGCGGGCGTAGAACAAGCGGTGAAGAACGGAGCGTACCGTCTTCTGAAGCATCCTTGTTTTCCCCCAACAACCCAGAGCTACGAAAACCACCCCGATCATACATCACTTGCCTGTCACCGTGGCCTGGCTTCCGTCCTCCTTTTCCGCCTCGACCTCTGTCAGTGCTGGTCGCCCTGCTGTTGCCTCCGCTCCGGTTTTGGCTCCGGCTGCGGCTACGCCTAGACGAAGGCGAGTTTCCCCCGCTCCGGTTTTGGCTCCGGCTGCGACCACGCCTAGACGAAGGATTGGTGCGCTGGTGACGTTCTGCGCTCCGACTCCTGCTTCGGCGGTGGCGGCTCGCCGGCGAAGACCTGATAGGCTGGGTCCCCGCGGCTTGCCGTCGCCCGCCATCTCCGGTGCCGCGCCCTCGCGAAGACTGGGTGGAACGTCGGTGGTCTTCCGTCCCGCTCTTGGCCGTCGAATCTTGGTCACCCCAACAATCCTTCCAGCTCTTAGACGCAGGAGCCGACGACCTACTGCAGTCCTTGTCACCTCCAGGAACATGGGCAGGGCGTGAAGAGGCCGGACGGGAGGCCTACAGATCGTGCTTGAAATCAGTGGTCGAGGCCGCACGAGCAAGAGGCAGCTGGGGGTCGCCATCGTGGGTCACCATCGACGTTCCTTGAGGACCGCTACGAAAGATGGCACGACGGAGAGCGAGCAAAAGCCGGAACACGGACTGCCGAGGAGAAGGCGGAAGTTTCGCAATGTAGGGGGCAGAATAATTGTGCCCGAATGCAACGGTGTGGGAGTGGGGAAATTGAGCATTAACGAGTTGTTGACGACAGCCCATGCAAAAAGAGCTTCCATTTATCATCGTGAAACGTTACGTCTTCGGCTGGCATCTCCAGTGGGCGGGGCAGGAACGCTGTCTCGCCCACAAGGAACTCGTACCCCATGGCTACGGCCGCAGTAGATGCCCCGTCTTCACCACCGGCCGGACTGCCCAACGTCACCGAAAACTCCGGAGTAGCCGCCGCCTCCCGCCCCTTCTCCTTCGATGAGGTGGGACTGCGGGAACCAAGACTCACCGAAGCGCGCTGTGACTGTGATTGGGAAGGGGCAACAACACGACGATGGGGAGAGGGCGAGGGCAAGGCCGCTGCGTGCGGGACATGGGGGCGGATCTCGAGGTGATCCAACCGTGATCGGAGCGCCCCCTACTTCGCCAGAGTAGCTTGGACGTGCGCCTCGCGCTCCGCCAGCTCAGCTTTACGATCCTCCTCCTGCTTCCGAGCTGCCGCCAGAGCAGCCGCACGCTCCTCCTCCTGTTTCCTCGCAGCAGCAGCCAGGGCAGCCTCACGCTCCTCCTCCTGTTTCCTCACACCAGCAGCCAGAGCAGCCTCACGCTCCTCCTCCTGCCGCTGACGCCAAGTATAAAGGCGGTGAAGCCGTGGGCGGTAAATAGCTTGCTCCTAGAGATAGATGAAGTTTCTGTCGTTGACACACTTGTCCACTACCACGTGAAAATGGGAAAGTTGCTTGTTATTGCTGAGAGACAATCAGCAACGGTCTGAGATGAAGTGGGGACCCAGCTTCATCTCAGGGGGTACATAGAGTAGATAATCTAAGGCGCCAAGTATAAAGGCGGTGAAGCCGTGGGCGGTAAATAGCTTGCTCCTAGAGATAGATGAAGTTTCTGTCGTTGACACACTTGTCCACTACCACGTGAAAATGGGAAAGTTGCTTGTTATTGCTGAGAGACAATCAGCAACGGTCTGAGATGAAGTGGGGACCCAGCTTCATCTCAGGGGGTACATAGAGTAGATAATCTAAGGGGGTAGGGGTCAGAAGGGTATACCTCCTGACCGACCCACATCCAATCAGCAATAAGATGTACCCTATTCATGCTAGCAGCCACACTCCTGAACAATTGGATGTATCTCACAGTAGTTCATCATGGAGAATCATTATGCATCATGCGGATCCCTTGTCGCCGGACTTTGAGGCGATATCAGTTGGCGTTCATACATAGACTACCCGCAAGAAGGTATCATCAACGGAGTTATTTTGGGTGAGCCTCAATCAATGCGTACCTACGCACACAAAATACTTAAAATTTAGCAAACTTTTGGCGGGATCACCGGCCGCCACAGGAGGCCTCGCCAAACAGAATACTTATGCAATTTGTAAATGATCCACTCCGAGGAAGAGTGTAGATAGCGTCAGTCATGAGATGCCATTACAATAATAGAATGAGTTTCTCACCACACGAAAGATTTCTCTTTTGACATCCCTGAGATGTTCTCTCAGTGGATATATATCTCACTGTAGCTCATCATGGAGAATCATGATGCATCATAAGAACCTTGTCGCCGGACTTTGAGGCGATTTTTGGTTGGCGTGCACATAGACTACATACCCGAAAACGGCATCAACCCCCAAGTTTTGTGTAAGTCTCAATTCAATGCGGGCCCGGCCGATGGCCACAAACATATAGTCTAGATTGTACAAATGTACAATCTAACGAAGTTTGGGCGGGTCACCCACTGCCGCAGGAGGCCTCGCCACATCAATCATCATATACTTCCATAAGATCGTCAACTTCTAGGAAGAAGAGAACACTAGCATACTCAATCGCGAGATACCGTTCGTCGAGTGAATTTCTCGATATACACCATGAGATTTTTCTTGAGACTCCGGAGATTTTCTCATGGATCTCACAGCAGCAGTAGTGCATCATGGAGTATGCATACCATGAGATCACAAAATAAGAAAAAGATTACAGAAAAATGCAATGTTTACAACAGTTGAAGGCATGGTGGATCATGAGATCTCATAGTTCACCGTGAGGTTTCCGGAGGTGCTTCATGATAATAACTTATTATGATATTATCATCATGGCCCAAACATCAACGACACACACACTATACTACTATGAAAGAAACATGACATATTTCATGTTGCACTGAGGGAGATAATTTCACGGACCCTCATGGTTCCTCAATCCTCATGGTGCATCACATGGATGGATGGATGGATGGGTGGATGGATGGATGCATGGATGGCACACGGTGACATTTTTCTCATGGTGCACCACATGATGAGGCGCCTTTTTCAGAAAAGAAAAGAAGAAAATACTTCCTAAAGCAACAGGGTCACACAGCAGCAGCAAAGAGTCTAATTATTTTTTACTTTTTGCCTGAAACAACATTGGTTGAAGGACACACCAAAAAGAGACAACAACAATTAGTCTAGATGCTAATCATGTCAATAAAAATATACGAAGTAATAGATAAAGCCCCTGCCTAAGTTCCGCCTCCTCCTCCATGGATGACCGTGAAGAAGGCAGTGCACCACCAGAAGCAGCCCCTCCGCCGCCGTGGGTGGTGTCGGGGGAAGAGGAGGATGCCATGACGACGACTGTGTCGGTCTTGAGGTGTACAGCTAGCTCCTGTACGTATGTGCAGCGCGCACACAGCAGCAGATAGTTTCAGAAAGCAAATGAAAAGAGCGTGAGAGAAGAGATATGCATATGTATGTATGTATATAGGCTATACATACCATACGTATACAGCAGGCCAATCAACTCTGTCGCCAAATCTTTCACCTTTTTCGATGTCGTGCTATCTTGTGATCCAGGATATGCTGCCGCCAACGGAGGAACTACCGTATGTACTACGTGGACCTGCAACTGCATGTAATGTGCCCTCTTGTTGGTCCGCGACCCACCAGAGCAACATGTTACTGGTGAAATTGAGAGCGAAGCATGAAAGTGAAAGCGAGAGCCCAAAAAATTAAAATTCGGGTCCAGATGCCTCTTTCTTGCCATTTCTTGGCAAGTACGGGGCGGGCTCTTCCCGCAAATTGAAGGTCTCATCAGCAGCGTCACGAGCATATATATGCGTGTCATCGTCATCGGATGCTGCAGCTAGGAGCTAGACAAGTTGCTAGACTTCCCCAGATTGGCTATTCCTGCCTCAAACTGTTGCAGGGCGGTTTGTGGCCTCGGTCGGGCGGTGGGCTCTGCTGTAGCATCATCTGCTCGCCGCTCTAACTCACATCTCCACATCGAGAGACTCCCACAGGATGACCGGGGTATCTGCTTGTAGCTACGGGCTGGCCCTTCAATTCAAGCTACACAGCAAGCTCCACCTCTCAGCAGTAGTCCAGCTGCAGCGCATCGCGCAATCTCGCTCTCAATCAGATGCTTCGCTCTCAATTTCACCAATATGCTGTTCCAATCGGTCCTCGCATCCTCGCCCTTTTCAGCCTGAGGAAAATTATTTTCGACGGCGTCGCCTCGCCTCTTCGAACGGTACCTACCGCTACCGGTGCTGCTGGCAAACCACTCATTCACGTGTCAGCGCACCTTTTGTACCCTCTAGGATCCACGAACAGCTGCTGTTTCAGTTTGATGGAATTAGTGTTGGAATTAGTTGTTGAGACAACCCATCGTGCGTGTGCCCCATCCATGCTTGTACTTGTAGCTCGTTCGTAGTGCGAGAAAGGGAACATGCACGCGAAAAACTGAGCGTGCTTGAACACAATGTGGCGGTGCTCCACGCAAAGCTGCAATAATAGGCAACCAAACCCCCACGCCCACCTTCCGAACAGAAAACAAATGGGGGAGGGGCAAGCAAGTGCTCGACCGTTGAAAGTTGAACGTACGAGCGGTATATATACGGTACGTACGACCGGAACAATCGACCACCTGCTCTCTCTCGCTCTCTCTCTCTTTTCTTTTTTTTCTGCCTCTTGCAGGTGCCATGTGTAGGTGTGACAGGCGTGTGTTACTTTTCGGCCCACCGATACGTATTGCTGCTTGCTGTAGCCCCCCCTTGACACACACAACCAGCAACCGGGAAGCACAGATTCTCAACAGCAAGGGGCAGCGGCGCGGCGGAGGGCGAGGGGCACCGAGGGTCGAGAGTATTGTGGAGGCCAGACTCTGGCTCGCGCTCGCCGCCGGTGCCCAGCAGCCCGGCGCCGTTGTCGCAATCGGTGTGCCCCACCTCTGTGCAACAGCAGCGAGCGGGATCTTCACGCCGCTCTGCACATCAAGAAGGGGGCAGAGCTAGGTCGTCGGATCGTCAGAGGAGGTGCGTGAAGCGAGGGGGGCTAAGGGGTAGCGGGGGGTGAGATTACTGGCGTGTTGGCGTGGGGCACCCACCGATGCCGGGCGCGGTGTTGGCAGCCTGCGGTCACACCAGGTTCATAAATCATGACATGGTGTTGTGCCATCCAAAATCCACTGCGACATCGCCTACTGCTGCTGTGGCTGCTACGGCAAGCCGGGCTGACAGATGAAGGATATAGAGGCAAGAGAGGCCACGGGAGTTAGCTCTCGTGCTGCGATCTACTTGTGATGAACGCTAGACTATGTATGGGCCGTTTTAAACGGACCGACTTTTTTGTCAGATTTTCGACATTTGTCTTTCAAAAACCTGGAACCTGTGTGCAGTCATTTCAAACGTGTGACGTGGACTTGTGCAACTTGTGTCAAAAAAAATGACGCCGTCCGTGAGTTGTAGCGCTCACTTCGAGACAACACACACGACACAACACAAACCGCGGAAAACACGACATCATGGACACCGACATGGATATCACGACCACCCAGCGTGGCCGGCAGACCAAAACCCCGGCGAAATTCCAGCAGACGGGCTCTCTCGGTGCCGCCGTAGGCGGTGGAGGCTTGCTCTCCAGCATGATAGTGCTGTTGCCTGGCATCTCGGGGAACACTCATGTTACCACGGGAGGCGCTGCCGCCACCAACACTCAGAGCGAGGGTGGAGCACTCCGCCGGCGAGGGGTGGCAACCACTGCTCCTACCCCCCCGGGAAAAGGAAAAAACAAAGCGGCGGACGCGAAGCAACAACTGCAAGCCATCATGGCGGACCGCCGTTTTTCGGACGACACAGCAACAGCAGACAGCATCGTCAACGTTGGCAACAGCGACTTTCCACGTCATCATCAACGTCGGCCATGACCCACACACAACCCTAGCTGACTTTCTACGGTGAGGGGCACTCGTGGTGCAGACGCAGCAGCCCTCGCGTGCCTCTGCAAGGGTACTTTGGAAAGTGCTCCAAATACTTTGAGAGGGTTGTCAACAAGTTGGAACGAAGTGGAGCAAAGTTTTCGCGCCCAACTTCGTTCCAAATATTTTTGAAAATAATGGACAAACGCCTACATACAGGTTCCATTTTTTCGACACTTTCAAAAATTTTGACAAAAAGTCGGTCCGTTTAAAACGAACGGCCCTATGTAGTGTAAGTCAAACGATGTCCGGCCACGGCCACAGATTGCAAAGAAAGGCCCACGCTCTTTCTCCACATTTGTCCCTCCGATGCGGTGTTCGTGCGACAACAGGAAAAGGGTGTGGTCATTGTTGAGAGGCAAAATGAGCACTAGCAGACGAGATTGATACTACATGTGCAAGAGAGCCAGCGCACGCTTTCAAATACAGTCGTGGCTCCGTTAGAAGAGGGTGGTGTGACAACGGCTCTCCACCCTCTCGAATCGGAGCCCGGTGTAAGAGGGTTCTCCTGTTGAATGAGGGTGCTCCGTAGTAGGGTACCCTCTTGTAAAGGGAAAGTCGGGAAATCTCGAGCAACAAAGGCACTTTGACTACGGCACAGCGTACCAGTATGCCGTGTAGGTGTATAAGCATGTATGTAGTATGTAGACGATGTGTGGTGGACTGTAAGGCGCGTGTGGTGGGCTCGTTGCTCGAGTTCACACGCCCGAAGCAAGCCGGGTGATCGTGATCGTATCGGCAACGCTTCCCGTTTTGTTTTTTTCGTTCACGGAGTGTGGGAACATCTGCAGAGAATAATTGCCTCGCAGCCAACATGACGCAGCCATTGATACTAAATAGGAGGTAAAGAACATGTTCATGCCTGCATTTAACACGCGTACATAGTCTACAGAGTCGAACAACCACGTTACAATTTCCTCGACACGTCTGCCACCATGAGCAACTAACTTCATGTGAGTGCTGTAATTGCACCTACAAACGGTCTACCTTCCCCTGGCCCCTGGACCCTGGCGCACACCAACATACACACATACGTTGCCCACATTAATATAGGGAATCTACTACGCCGAGGAAAGCCCAGCACAAACTGGGCAAGGCGATTAACACGATACAACTTGAAAAGTTCATGGAGTCTCTGGAGCACCTCCCCCAGGAGGCGGTACCACCCACGCGGGACAACCCCTACGGAGGTCAAGAGGCCAGGAACATGGCATACGCACGAACGAGAAGCTCGCAAGGGCAAGGGGGGCACGCGTTCCTGAGAGCGGCTCCCACCGACCGAGCTCGAGAGATTCCATCGAACGAATTCGTCTGCGCGACGAGACGCGCCTTGGGAGTTGAAGAATTCTTGGCGGAAAGATGTCCCAGGTGCCACAGATGCAGGGAAGGCGAGATCATCACAACGGTGCACGCAAGGACCTGTCGAAGGGATGGAGCACAGGTCAACATGCACGAGCCGTTAAAATACGCACTATCGAGAGCACTCAACGGCCTTCGCGTCAAACACGACGTTGAAAGCGGGGCACCGTTCACGGGGGAAAGAAACCTGAGCATGGACATCGTCATCAGGCCAGGAGCCCTCACGAACGCATCTTCTCCGGGGTACCGCAACAAAGGAATACTCCTCGATGTCACACACGCAGACCCGCAAGCACAGGTACACTTGCGGAACGGCAGCGCGACCAGCGATGGAATCGCAGCCCAAGCATCCGAGGCGCGAAAGCGTCAGCACTACGCTCGTCCGGGACACGTGTCCTTTGACGAACGCAGCTTTAAACTTACCACCTTAGCCGTGGAAAGCTTTGGCCGCCTTGGAGAGGAGGGTTACGAGTTCATCGATGAACTTGCGACACATGCCGTGGGAGGAAGGGACGGAGGAACGATGGCTCTGAAAGGAGTCTTCAAGGAACGACTTCTTCAGATCGTTTCGGTGGCTACACAGGTGGCCATATCTCGGCGAGTGCAGAGGTACAAGCTCGCATTGCGCGGGCGTCAAGACGCCGAAAACAGGCGAACAAGATCGACCTCGGACCAGTCAACGCCAATGATATGGGGATGGAGTGTAGACGCATCGTAGAACGCGTTTTCGTTTGAAGTTGGCGTCTTGTTTGAGAGTAGATGTGACAGATTTGCGTAGAATAGGGTAAGATGTTATCATGAACGGAGATGAAAGGGCTTTTCCAACACGGAGATGTAGCATGGATCAAAGCATTTGTTGGATTTCAGCTTTTACAAGCGGACATCAACGCAGTAGTATTTTAGCAAGCTTACGAACGCATATAGGATACCATCAGGATTGTCATTGGTAAGTTGAAGAGGAGATACTTTTACGATGTAAATGACAGTAGAAATAAGTCCTACATATGTTGTTGTACTTCGTATTGGTTTAATATTCATGTAGAGTATGAGACATTAAGTGAAAGTTTTCTGAGGTACATCTGCAATTGTCGGAAGGCAAAAATAAATAAATAAATATATAGAGAACTATTAAGGTCTATCTGCGCTGCAGGTTTTGAACCATATGCTGAAAGGGACGAAATTCTAGCCTAGCACAAACAGCCCCCTGTTTTTTCTTGGCGCCGCGATATGTGTGTGTGTGTTCATGTGTGCTATATTCTGCCTTTATTGATAGCATCGACCGCACTTTATTGATAGCATCGACCGCACTAGTCTAACCAGCTAACCAATGAAACACGTTAGTCTCAGTGCGGCCGTGGTCTGGGACCCCATTAGGGGGCGCCATGGGGGAGACTAGGCTACTCTCCAGCCTAAAGATGAAGAAGGTAGCAGAAGAAAGCTGCACATGCTTACCCTCGGCTGCTAATTTTACACACGTGTTCGTTTCGGAGTGCTTTCATGCTTTCATCATCTTTGCACGTTCAACAGGGTTTTCGCCTGATTGAGAGCGGAGTATACGATTGAGAGCGGGAGCCAAAAAAATTGAAATTTCGGGTCCAGACGCCTCTTGCCATTTCTTGGGAAGTAGGGGGCGGGCTCTTCCAAGAAGCGGCGCAAATTGAAGGTCTCATCAGCAGCGTCACGAGCATATGCGTGTCATCGCGATCGGATGCTGCAGCTAGGAGCTAGACAAGTTGCTAGATTTCCCCAGATTGGCTATTCCTGCCTCAAACTGTTTCAGGGCGATTTGATCGCAGGCGGTGAGCTCTGCTGTAGATTCTGCTCCCCGCTGTAGCTCCACAACGAGAGACGCCCACAGGATGACCCCTTGTTGCTACGGGCTAGGCCTTCAATTCAAGTCACGCAGCAAGCTCCACCTCTCAGCGGTAGTCCAGCTACAGCGCATCGCGCAATCTCGCTCTCAATCAGAAACTTCGCTCTCAATCACACGAAAACCTCGTTCATCCTCCTTGTATTTGCCACCGCTTTCACCAAAATATCACTGTTCATTGGCAGCTCCTCTCTGGTCTGTTCTTCCTGCGGCGTTGTTGTGAGGAAGGTAGGTGTGTTTGTGTGTGAGTTAAACGCCGGGGGAGCCTTACACCAGCGACAGTCCCTCACTTTCAAGCCCGATAGTGCGGTAATTCCCCTCTTTAGTGGGGTGACTCCACTATATAGGGTCCGGTCTCTGTACAAGAGGGATACCCTACTATAGCGAATCGAGTCCGTGACAAACGATTTCGACCCCTTTGTGTCGGAGCCCCCTCTTGTGAGGTACCCTCTTATAACGGAGCCAGGACTGTAATTGAATCCATGTATAGACTACTATAGACCGAGCATTGATGTCACCCAAGGAACATGCCTATTTCACACCAGCCAGTGGCACACACAAGAGAGAGCAGCAGCACTGTGCCTTCATGAAACGTCTCTAACGAATCCCCACACCCTGCCGAAGTGTACGGAATGAACGCAACGTGACTGGTCATTCCCGCCATTCAAAACCCCAGGTTGAACAACGCCGTTGCTTGATGTACATGGTATTTGCGCGAAACAGCCACTAACTTAAACGTGATCCGCTGATCCTTCGCTCTCCGCAAGACCCAACGCTTTTTCCACTGCCTGGTCGCCGCGGCGTGACCAAACATTGCTCGTTGAGGGCGTAGACTAAAGTAGACAGATACCACAGCGATTGAAATATCACTACAAAACACGGTTCTCCACGTACGGCTCACGCGGAGAGAGCCTGCCCTCCCTTGACTGTTCTGTCGATGATCCAATCCAACACCGCTCGCGTACAAGGGAAGGACGACGCTCCAGAAACTCTATGGTACACTACAAATATAGGTTTCGTGTGTGCTACAGCAGTACGAGTGTTGCGCGCGACACACTTTCGTGGTGGTCCAAACGGTGCATCGTCCGGCCTCCCATATGAACACCGCGTGCGCCAATAACCGTAGCGAGCACCCACGCCATGCGGACGCCGATGTACTGCAGTGCACGCTCGACTGGCCAGAGAACTCTAGCAAGTACCCAACGATCCACTTACGCTGCTCTTGCCTAATACTTTTCAGGCGGCGAGAGTGTCCTGCAAACGACCCCACAACCCACAACACACCAAGAGACGACGAAAAAGTACCTCTATCCCGTAAACCACCATCTACAAACACACAATGACAACCCCAGTCCATACCCGACGGAGGGTCCTCCTAGTGAGGACGAAAGAGCGGTTCGCTTTCTTCAGGAAGAGAGCGATCGTTAACCAATAAAAAGAATATCATCACGCCGCATGTATGTTTCGCGTTGAAAGCTGCCCTGACGCCAGAAATCCCAGACGCCGCATCTGCAGTGAGGTAGAGCCAACCCGCGCGTAACAGAACGGCGACGCAATTCCTTCGCCCTCCCCGCCCCTCTACAGCTACCTTGCTTCGGCGCATGCTCCCCTCGACCGTTTGGTGTATGTAATACAACTCTCACACTACTGATGCAGGCCCCACGATATACTACTGCCTCTCCTCCAAATAATCGCGCCGCCGTCAACGAAACGCTTGGTCTACTTCTTTCCATGTCGACCGCCGACCGCAAAAGCCGAGTGATCCCCCCCTCGATCGTACGCCCATGCTCGGCACCCGTTTTTTCTGTCGTCGGCGTAAAATTCCTGCAGATTTACACTGTGCTAATTTGCTATTCCCTACAAATATCCAGTCCAGATCGCCCCTGGAAAACAGGGACCTCTACCCCTTGCCAACTCACGGGGGCGGCAGCAGTCCACTTCGCCCATGAAAAATAGCGACCTCTACCCTTACCAGCTCGGGGGGGCGGCAGACCGGCAGTAGTTTTTCCCCTTCCTCTTCTGCTTTCCGGCTCTATTGTTGCAACTTGCGACATTCATCCTACGCCCTACGCACCAGAGAAAGGGAAATAAATCCATGGTCTCTCCGGCAGAAATCTCGGCACGCCCAATCAGCAAAATAAATGAGATGTTGCTGTTGCGGGCGGCAGGCGCGTCAAAGTGCCTATAGGGGCTGGTAACAGGCGTCCTAGGCCGCGACCCCAACCTCATCGCCGACCGCCCTCACCAGGAAAAGGGTGAACACCACCAGCACAAATCGGGAACGGACAGCTCGAGCGCCAGCAGCAGGTAGAGGTACCTCGAGTGCCGACACGACGAGCGCGTTCTTCGAGTGAGTCACCCAGCGCCCAACCCCCATCCGCAAGAGACCAAACATACAACAATACCACGAGGAACACACCCAACTGTGCACCCGGCCTACGCCCAGTCCTCGTCGTCGTCTTCGTCGTCGTCGTCGTCTCTCCCCGAGCTATCGCTAACGCCCGCAAACCCCCCCGTGCTCTTCCGCCGTCTTGCGGTTTTCGGCTTCTTGCCCTTGGCCTTGACCCCCTTCCCCCTGCCGCCGACGCCACCTCGTTTTTTGGCTGTCGAAAGCGCGTCCCCCGCGCTCGCTCTCCTGCACGCACGGGCGCAAGCAGTGCCACCGAGAGGATGAGTTTCGTGGGAAGAATTAGGATATGTAAAACACACATTACCGGTCGCTCATGAGAGATTGATTGGACGGGAGGAAGGCGAAAGAGGGCCCTCGAGAAGGAGCGCGGGTGGTGCCGGTACACAAGCGGTTTACTCAATCCACGAACGGTTGTCAAGGTCAGATAAAACCAAGACCCCTCAAACGAATTAGCGAGAACGTGCTCAACACAAAAACGAGCGGCGTGGAACGTCACGAAATCCGAAAACCTCCCATGGAAATGCCGCCGTTCACATCTCTCCCTCCTTTCCCTTCCGCGGAAACAATCGTCGCGGAATCAACGCGCGAACTGCACGAAATCAACGCGAAATACCCGCGCGTCAACGGTGTGACGCAAACACCGCGCTTTCCCACCTCTTCTTGGCGCGCGCACCCCCGCTCGAAGAAGCCAACCCTCGCTTCTTGCCGCGCTTCTTGGGGGCGTTGTTGTCCGACCCCGAACCGGCATCGGTCTCGCCGCCCCCGCCGCCGTCTTGGCCGTCGGACACGGCCTCCTGCAGGCCCTCCCAGCCGGCATAATCCTCGGGGTCGTCCTGCGCGAGACGTCTCAACTCCATGTAGAAGGCCGACAGCTGGAAGAAGAAGCGCAAGGCATGGAAGGGAACGGTAGGGAGGGTTTTAGGAGGGTCGTGGAGAAGGAGAAAGGGGTTGGTTTGGACAAGAACGGCGTGGCTAGCGAGGGGCGGGGGGCGTCCTCGATGCACGGACATAATCCCACTTAGCCGGTGGGGGGGG